CCCCCCCCCCATGCAGCTTAGCAAGAGACATGCAATATTTGCCTAGTACCACCAAACTCCTTGATTTGATGTTTATCACAATGTATACAGGTGGGTGTGGAATTGTTCATAATAAAAGAGATTGCAGAATGCATAGTTGTCCATATTAACAAATGTAATAACTCCCACAGATTAATAGTTTGGGGCACTCAAAAAGTTGGCTTTAGGAATATAACAGCCTATGACCTGTATTCCAGAATTATGAGACGACTTCAGCAACTTGAAATGTCCATTGGTGGAATAATGAGAAAAGTTGAAACGGTGGAGATGAAACTGGAGACGATGGAAACAAACAAGATGAAACAGACAAACCTGGTAGACAATCTACAGAACAATATAGCAAAGGTGAGTTTATGAATGTCGTGAGCTTCTACAAACACAGCTGCCAGGAGAATTGTGTAACCGGAGCTATGGGCTAAATAGACATCACCATATAAACCTGGCTCTGTGCTTTACTACAGATCAGTATGAAGATCCTTAACAGAGAATTGTATATAGAGTGTCATTTTATAATCACCTGCTTAGTCCTCTAGGAAGGTGAAAAATATTTACTAAGAAGTTTTGGGTGGATGCAGGCAGGTTGAATTCTCCACTGCCAGTGGATAGGAAGTGATGGGGGGAATCCAATTGGGGATACTAAGGATGCACAGATACTGTTTTTTCGGTATCAAGTACGAGTACCGATTATCAGGAAGTCCGGCGGTGGATCATGACCCCGTCGCCCAGCTTCCTGATTTTCCTGGGAAGCCGGTGTCCTATCGAAAGAACGGCTTCACTTGCCAAGGCTGCCTGGCTTCCTGACCAATCAAGAAGCCAGGAGGCGAGTCATTACGTGCCGCCCAGCTTCCTGATGCTTCCGAACCAATCAGGAAGCCGGTGGGCAGGTCCTAACTCACCACCTGGCTTCCTGATTGGAAAGGAAGTCCGCTCCATGCTCGGACGACATTGAGCTTTAAAACGGATACACCCCTCCTTTTTGGTCCAGAGGGAGAACTCTGGATGACAGGTAAATATCTGGAATCTGTTTTTATATCCCCATTAATGACTCACCCTAAACTAACATGAACTGAACATCTGCAAAACCATACTAACCTTGTTGGGTATCTCAAGCTCCCTGTATTCTGAAAAAAATTGAATTAAAGCCACTACTGTGTAACCCACCACATGCATATTTCCAGAGGCCCCGTTACCTCAAAATAAGTTTGTTCAATGAATAAATGTGCACACTTATGCTGACTATACACTTCTTGAATTCTGGTGACCTGCTGACTCGGCAGCACTTGACCAAATTTTAGCTGTGTGTGGCCCTGCCAGCACCACTCCAATCCACAAAAGTTGATTTTGGTCAAAGCAGTTGGGCCAAGATGGCGAATTCCCCAATGGTACAGAATCCCGCCAACACAATTCCCTCCCAGGATTCCTTCCCACTAGGCTTTTTTCACTGTTTGGCCAAGAATTTTCAGACTGGCTCCTTTAAAAAAAGTTGATTGAGGACCTGGACAGTGTCACACACTAATCAATTTCAGCCAAGTCATGCTAACCTGTGTATGGTCAGTTTTAATTAAGTGAATTTCAAGAATTTACTGACAATTACAATTAGCAAATCTAGCCTGCTTTTACATTTTCAAACCAATACTGTACTAAGTAAAGATCTCAATAAAAATGGTTTACTTTTTCTTAAAGGAGAAACATCTTAGCCAGGATGAAATTCTACAACAGAAGGAAGGCTGGGAGTCTGAATACAAACCGCAGAACATCATGGAACCATCATACAGGAACAGTAATGCAATGTATCCAAATATAAACGGCTCACAAAACTCCTTGAATTAACCCATAGATTGAGGTAGTGTGTTTTCTGCAAATATGATTTATAGCCCTTGTACCGCTAAATTTACAAAGCACAGATATTTACATTCAAACTAAATGTACAGTAATGCCAGTTTGTTAAACATATCACTGAGGGGTACTTATTTAAAATGGACCACACTTATTTTCCTCATGTCATACGATCTAAGGTATACTGACCGTAGAATACAGCTGTACCTTTTTACATAGTGCCTCAAGTTATCATAGGTGAAATATTTAAAAGCAGTCCTGAAAATGACAAATCATTCCCTCTTACTGGTGAAGGCAATGCTCACTATATTTCTGAAAACTTTGGCTCAAGGAAGACCATCACCCCCCCAGCAGAATTTGTCAGGCAGAAACCCAAAATGACCGTTTTGCCCACCTTTCTATATATTTTTTTAAAATAATTCTATTGTAAGCACATGGGACTTCCAGTCAGGGAATGACAGCAGCGGAATGTAAATACAGCAGGTAGTGGGCTGGTGCAAATAGCAGACTGGCTAGCACCCGCCCACTGCTTGCTGTGCCCTCCTCCCAGCATGGAGGAGAGAGAGCTAGGAGATCCAATCAACTAATCGATAATGAGAATAGTTGGCAATTCTTATTGATTTAGTTGGTTGCAGCCTTACATTAATACACTGTCCTGTAGTGCCATAGCTTCCGGCATGTGGAAGCACAGCACCCAGTGGGAGGGACATGCTATCCAACGCTGAGCTTTTATGTAGGCTGTATTAATTAAATGTATGAATTAACCATAGAACTGGTCCATTCTAAATAAAAATGTGTGATATGTATATTTAAGAATTTCACATGGCAGTAAATTGTGCATTTGTTTGGCACTCTGGGGAGTAAAAGTACTTGGCATGATTGGTAGCTCCTCCTGCAGCGTACAGTAAGTAACGCAGAGTTGAATGCAACACAGAGTGTAGGGGAAAGTGAAAAAAATAAAATACTAAGTAACACAGACTGCAGGGGTAAAAGTAATGCAGCCACCTTCTAAGCACGATAGGGGAGAAAACATGGTACAATCAATTATGATTTGTAGACTTTCTAAAGCAGGGATCTCAAACTCATATGACTCGGGGGCCACTCGACAACTTTTTTTTTTTTTCCCATGGGGGCCAGCTTGAAAAAAGTTTGTACATCAAAATAAAATGTAACTATATCCGGTTTGGTACTACGGACCCCGATACACCCGCAATAAGGCCCTATTCATATCTGCAAGTTTTAGGTGCGATTAGGGATTCCTGTGTCAGGAACTTGCGTTTTTCTGCAGCAGGAATGCCTAATCGTGACCGCTGCTGCTTACAAACACCAGATTAGGCATACGTGCTGCAGAAAAACGCAAGTTCATGATGCAGGAATTCCTAATTGCACCTAAAGATAGAGATTTGAATATAGCCTAATACACTCCTCCCCTGCCCCTACACATACAAAAAAAACTACCGCTGCACATGCACATGTGAAATAATACACTCCCCATCCCCCCCTCCCCATAAAAAAAATACCCCATCACATGTAAAAAAATACACTCCTGCTCCCC